TGTTCTAATTTATTTGTCTTTATTCTAATTTACTGTCTATATTCTAATTTATTAAAACTCACGATAACTAATTACGAATTTATTAAAGTCTTTATTAATCCTAATTACAAATAATTTATTAACGTTTCGTTACATTTAAATATCGCGGTTCGCGAGCTTCTTATAACTGACTCCTCAATGAAATTCTTCCGGTATTTATATGAAACCAGCTTGTAACAGAATGTTTGTAGAAAATACGATGCCGTTCTCGATCTCGACGTAGACACGGCGGCGACTGGTCTCAAAACATGTTCTTTATCGGCTTGTCGCCCCCAGAACATTCGATTGTTGTTTGTCAGGTAGATTTTTTTGACCTAGAAATTACGAGAATCAATACAAAAGAATTAGTCATAAAATATTTACAGTTCTATACGCCATAACATTTAAAATCGTAACAATAATAACAATATTGAATATGATATAATTTGTGAAAATCTAGTAGAACACTTCCTAATAGAATCGGACATACACGTGGAGTACCACTTTTTTGTCAGATGTGTCACTACTAGGCCATTTTTGCTGCTGTACTTAGACGAGTACAGTGGGATCAAATGGGTTAAATAAGCTAGAGGTTGAACTCCCTATGATAATATTTATAGAGAATTGAAGCCTGTAGAAAGATTTTATGCCTAAAACAGTTGCAAAAAGATACCTATCCAGTGGGTTTTATATTACACTTAAGTCTAGTTGGGTTGATTGCCTGTTACTTACTGTGCTGTAAGCTCATTGTTTTTCTTATAACTTAATACAGGTGTGGAAATGATCTTCTGATGTAATAAGCTTTGAATGTTTTAATGGGTCCCTGATCCATTGGTTGAAGTAAGCTGGTTGTATTAGCTGGTAAAAATTCAACTGTCACACGTGGGTCAAAACTAGTTAAGGTTGCAGGAGAATGACCTGGTGTTTGTTTAGATTGACAATAACAATTAACTTCAGGTATGCCATAATCACCAAACCAATCCTCAAAAGGAAATCTGTCACCCAAGCTTTACGATTAGACCTTCAATTCACAGGCAAGCCTGATTTAGCTGATCTATATTGAATATAGTTTGGTTGGTGTTGTCACATTTATTTATCATAACTTTTAATTTCTCTGCACAACTATGCCAATTAGAGCAACTTTTGATTCAGCTAAACTAACTGTTACTAGGATAATAATACATACTAGGATCACTAGGATCATTTTTAACATTTACCTTATTATCACACTATAATTTTAATATTGTTTCCATCTCAGTAATAATGTGACTCTTAGGAAAGATGGTTGAATTTAGAAGATTATGCACTTTTCAGAGCTTCGAGAGAATTTTTTCTTTGCCTTTTATAATGTTTTTGTCTGTCAATTTGACAGATCAAACTGCTTTGCTAATTCACAAAATTTCATTTTTTGTATCACAATCTTTAATTATGTTAAGTTTAAATCGACGAGGTAAGTTGGGAAGCTATTTTAAAGTAATTACTATTTTAATGGGAATAAGCCACAATTAAAGGTTAAATTATGTTTATTGACGTTTCAATTTCCACTTCGGAAATCGTTCTCAAAATACAAACATTAGTAAATTAAACAAATTTTGTTTTTTGTTACTTAGTGAAAAATTCTTCTAATAATTTAATTTTATCTGACTCATATATATTGACAATTCAGACATACATTATACATTTTAAAGTAGACGACTTTAAAATGATATTATTGTTGAGTTGCGCTCCTGGGATGACTTTACTTATAAGATAGTTAGTTCATTTGATTACATGAAATCAACTTTAACTTGAGAATATCCGTCAGAAAAAATCATAGCATGTAATTCGTCTTTAAAAAGACAAACACATGCCATGATGACAGTAAAATTCTTCTGTTAGTGATTCCATAATAAATTATGAGGGAAAAACCAGGAAAAAAACCTCATAATCTTATCCCGACATGGTAAGTAGTTAGTTGTGCATTTCATTTACCTTCAATAAACACCAAATTCTGATTTTATATGTTTGTTATTTAAAAAACATAAATGATGTATCCTCTATATGTTAGTGACTTACTATAATATAGTTCATTCAAGTACATGAAATCAACTATGACTTGAGAATATCTGTCAAAAAAATCATAGCATGTAATTCGTCTCTAAAGAGACAAACACATGTAAGTCAATAATATATAGAGGATGCATCATTTATGTTTTTTAAATAACAAACATATAAAATCAGAATTTGGTGTTTATTGAAGGTAAACTAAATGCACAACCAAATATATATATATATATATATATATATATATATATATATATATATATATATATATATAAATTTATTGTCTTGGTGTATCGGGTATGTGGTCTGTAATTTAAAAAAACTCTTTTTTCTTTTAATTCTCTATATTTTGCTGATTTTTTGTTAGCTTCATCAGGAGACAACTAAAATGTGGTTAAAAGTTATATAAAAATTCAGGTGAGAATAAACAATGAACTCTTACAGAATCACTTACAGATTTAGAGTTAAAAGTATTTAAAACAGTTGTTGCACATAATATCTTCAAAACAGTACAGGTTAAAAGCACCTAGATCACTATTAATTAAATATAAAAAGAGAGAAAACAAAAACAACCAAGAGACAATTAAAACACAATAAAATTTACACATTAAAAATATACAGGGTTGTATACCGCTTACCCTATACACCAAGACAATAAATTGTTATTTACGTTTCAGTCGATAATCCTACCAGTTTTGCTATATATATATATATATATATATATATATATATATATATATATATATATATATATATATATATATATATATCCTACTATCGTTAAAGCGTCTTTACACTCTCTATGTATAGAGCGTCCGATTGTTAAAAAACACCTTTTTGTTATTAATAATTAATATTCCATCATCAGTGCTATCTGGAGGTACATGTTTGAAGCCACTAAATATGTGGGTAAAAACCTTTTTTTCTGCAGCCGTCCCGAAAATAAAATTTCGGTATGATTTATTAAATCGTACACAACTCGGGATTAATTTTTTCAATTTCGAGACGATTTTGGGAGCTAGGTAACGTCTTTGACAATAACATCAACTTTGTATTTTATTATGACAACGCTTGTCAAAGATTCGTGTTTTTTCGCTCAGTTTTTCGTGTCTAACACTAATTTCGATACTGCCACTTCTGTTAATGTTCTTAACAATGTCACTATAAATAATTCTTATAATTGTGTTCATATTGTGTGTGTAATATTCATAAGTAGATTTTTCTAACGTTGAATTCACGAGTGTAACTTTCAGGTTCAACATAGAAAACGGCTGCAGAAAAAATATTGTACGTAACACGATTCAAAAGTAATGTTACGAGACTCGCAGGATTCCAGGACTCGCCTATGGCTCGCACTGGAAACTTCCTACTCGTCTCGTAAGATGTCTCGGAACTTGTAACGTAAATTACTATTAAATGTAGTTACATTAACTTTGAATTACATCTTTGATATTTAAACACTAAGTATGATGTTTAAGTTATAAAAGGAATTGATCACATGGCAACGTACGACTCCAATGGGGTTGCTAGTCCTAAGATGAAGTGTCTGCGAGGACTTGTTGATCAGCTATTGGAGTTGCTATTATTTTTGTTGTTCTAGAGTTGCCGTTTACTAAACCTTAAGACAATAATCAGCACTCGAGATATAAAACGTGTCAACATGCACAACATGCAACGTGCAACTTCTTGCAGTGAAAAGGTACGCGCGCGAACCGCTAGATACAAACTATAGTTAATAAATTATATACGTTATCTTTATTTCGGTTAGTTTGGCAGTTGAAATGTGTAGTATTATATATTACAAAAATACTCTCATTTAGGGATTGATCAATTTTTTAGCGGAACTATTTTTATTCCAAAAAATTACTTATTATTATACTTATAATAAATACTTCAGCAGTTTCTTTAGAACGAATGTTGCTATTTAATATAAGACGATCTTTTATGTAATGTATAGACAAATGAATTAAAGAAAATGTTGGACATATCGAACAGTTACTTTGACAAAAAGTTTAATGTTAACTATTTCTTAATTTGGTTAGTAAATAAAATGTTTTGATTATGACTTTAATTTAATACAAAACGTAAAATGTTTGATGTAAAATCCAATTATTGTGTTATTTTGTCAAATCCTGTTATTAATTATCCAGCTGATTTATTTATTTTATTTAATAATTCGTTAACTATTAATTTATTAAAGTATTTTATACCAAAATTTAGCAGGATTAATGTTTTTCTTTAATTTTCTTTCGTTGGCTGGAGTAATTGCGTTAAATCAGAATTATGTAGTTGATTTGTAAAATGCGATTATCTCGAAAATTGTTGAGTTTTGAAGATATTAACAAGTATACTTTTTTTTGTTAAAATAAGGTATCTTTAATATAAACTTGAAGAGTAAAAAAGTTAAGTGCAAATGTATGTCACATATGTGGCATATGTGGCACTCTCTATCAGCTGTATCAAAGTGTGCATCAAATTATAATTTCCTATATTCAATAGTATCCAGTTGTAAATTTTTATACATAAATGTTGACAAACATAAAAGTTATAGCAAAAAATAAAATTTTAAATTTCCCATTAACACCCTGTATCTTTCTTAATATTAACATTTTATTAAAGCAATTTGGCTTTAATCGTAATTTTTTAAATGTAGAATCTACGGTTTCTTTTTGTACAATTATTTAAGGATCACCCTGTATATAAACAAAGAATTATTGAAAATGCCATGGTGGACCTTAGCCGGTTATTAGACTATATGGATACCTATTCATTTTAGTTATACTGTATCTGTGTTATACTGTGTAAGATACGCGAAATGTTATAATGGCCTGAATTTGCGTTAACTAGTATAAAACATATATTTTTATGATTTGTTTATTGTACATAGTTTGAATATCTTCCTTACTTTTATGTCTCTATACATTCTGTTTTTTTTTCAGTTCGTTTATTCAGGAATTCCATATATCAATAAAGATGAAGAACAAGAATTAAGACAAAGATTTAAAAACAATGACATTACAGATGTACAAAGTCTATTTAGGCAAGAGTTGCAAAATATTTTTCACGATCAAGGAGAAAAAATTCGAAATTGGTATGCGACTGCAAATATTGGAGAAACATTAGCAATACCAGAATTTTACCAAGTGTCGAAAGATAGTGATGAATTTGTTTATTTTATTCATAAAACAATAAGAGATCGGTTTAAGAATGTCTGGACTAGTGTCAAAAATAACGAATTCGTTTTAAAAAAAGTTACTAGTGAAGAATTTAAAAAGTTACATCAACTTTATAATTTAGAAGAAGAATGTATTAAAAACCTATTAGGATTCAGCAGAGTTTTTAGATATTTGGTGTCATTGCAAAAACCTCTGATAGGGCATAACTTAATGCAAGATCTTTTGTTAATGATAGAATGTTTTGAAAAATCGCTACCTCCATCATACGAAAGTTTTAAAAAAACCGTCAATACACTGTTTCCAAAAATATTCGATACAAAATCTATTTTATACAATATTAAAAAAAATGTTCCTGAAGATAAAAAAATTGATGATAAAAGTCTTAAAGATACATTCGAGTACTTCAAGGACGGCATTGGAAGACATTTGGCTCTCAATTCTCCTGCTATAGAAAATAACTGTAATGGTACTTATAATAAGTATCACGAAGCTGGATGGGATTCGTTTTGTGCCGGATATATTTTTATCAGAATGGCGTATTTTAATCTCTATCAACAATATCCGAAATCAAAAAGGTACATGAGTGGCGAACTTATAGCCGGACTTGAATTCTGTCAAAATAAAGTCAACGTTATTCGAGGAGCTGTGTCTTCCATTGTGAGTAGTTAGTATTAAAGATTTTTAAATAAAAAACATTTGTCTTTATAATATGCATTAGAGTATTAGAGGATGTGTTTTCGAGCCCATAGTATGACTTATCTTGTATCACTCCTATGGAAAATTGGAAATCATCGAGGCTATTCTGATCTTATTTACATCTGATCTATGGAGCTCTTTCAGTATTTTTCTCTTTCCTATTTGGTACACCCAAATTACTTTATCCAATTTCGCAACCATGACATTCTTCTACGGGCTGGAGTTTTTTTCCTTCTATTTTTCTCTGCCTTATATTTGGAAGTAACGCATTTTTTTGTTCTATCAATACGTGGCCCAAATATTCGAGTTTTCTTCTCTTTTTAGTTAACATAACCGGTTTTTTTCCTGCACAATGTAGCACTTCCACGTTTGTGACTCTATCAATCCAACTTCTTCCTAATAATCAACGGTAGCACCCCATATCGGAGCCTTAAATATTTTTATGTTATTCTGTTTAAGAGTCCAGACCTCTACTTCGCATAATAGAGTAATAAATACATAGCCTCTCAACAATCTTAATCGTAGAGGGATACTTATGCCTCTATTGCAGAAGAATTTTTTTTATCTTAATAAAAGTGGCCTCTTCTTATTTCCCTATTTTGCGCTACAGTTTCATTTAATTAAATTCCCAAGTACTTGTAGTTTGATACTTGTATGCGTTGGTGTTATCAGGGTCTTATTGAAGACCATATGATTCAATATACAGATTACGCGAAAATAACACGGAGTATACCCATTTAATACATTGAATCTAAAGTACATGTGAAACAGTCAACAAATAAAAAAAGTTAATACATTATTATCATAAATTATAAAAACGTTAGTTCGATATGTAGAAAATCGCTCAACTGCCGCTTTTCTTTTGCGATGCCAATCGAAAGTTACCGAAATTCTCATTTTTCAAGCTGAGCTTGGCCGTTTCTCAGTTACACTGAGTAGGTTATTATTAAGCCGTAACGTATGAAAATAAAATAATTTCGTAATTACTTCAAGATGTATACAGTTGGAGAAAAGATATAAATTTTAATTTGGTATTTTAGAGGTCACTCAACGCGAGTAGATTTATTCGTTGTTGCTTTTAAGAATAGGGCGGTTCCTTCAAGTTCCACAGTTAACCGAATAATTCAAAAATTTCACAAATGTGGGTGTATTCAAAATTGTCACAAATGTAATAACCTTGGTGAACCATGTGTTTGTCAAAAGAGTGAACAACGTTTAAATAAAGCAATTAATGTCTGTGCCGCTGTTGAAGACAGTCAACCGTGTTCAAGCAGGAAATTACTGAAGAAGTACACTTAATTTAAAGTACTATTCGAGGTATTTAAAAACTAAATGGATATTGGTGCTATAAAACACTCAAGAAGTTTTTCCCCAAAAAAATATTAAACGAATGGAATTCTGCGAGGAGGAAGGAAAAGCAAAATGACGATCAGAATTTTTTAAACAACGATGAATCGACATATTCTCTTCTCAGGAAACACAATCCATCCATTGTTCAATATTGGTCTTGGGAAAATAAGCATCTAAGTATTCCTTTACGTACACAATACCCACAAAAACTTAGTGTTTGGTCGGAGATTTTGGGTGATTATGTAATAGGCCCCTTTTTTATTTTTTTATTGAGGGTAACCTCAAAGGCACTTAATACCTCAAACTGCTACAAAATCAAATCGTTCTGGCAATTCAGCAACTTCCTGTGAATTTTTGGAGATATTTGGTACCAGCATGACTGATGTCCTAGTCATAATATCAGGGCAGTTACCGAATTTCTCCAAAGGACACTTCTCAACCGCATAATTGCAACAAACGGTACAAGCAAGTGGCCTCCAAGATCAACAGATTTGCCCCTAAATGATTTCTTTTTTTGAGGAGTTAAGAGCGAAAATTGTCCAACATTGCGCCAATATTGCACCGAATAAATTCAGAAATACAAGAGTGTCTTTGTCTAAATAGGCATTTTAAGTCGTTTTTAGAATTTTATCTTTTAAGTTTCTTTTAGAATAGTTATGTTTTTTTACGATTTTATTTTATTTTCAAAGCCGTTACGAGGGTCATTCGTAAAAAAAGGTAACTATGCTACTGAGAAAGAATGCGACGCGCTAGGAGAAATCTGGAAATACTGCTTTAAGCTTCAACTCCCCCTGTCTCGCACCCCATCACTCACGCCTTGCTGCATTGGTCAGTGCCGGCCTAGCAGCTTTCGAATATTGAGTTCCCGATTGCTGTTACCATCAGATTAATTCATGCTGTGCTAGGTTTTTTTAAATGCAAAACGGATTTCGCGTATTGACTTTCATTGTCAGTTAATCGAAGTTTATGGGGAAAAGTGCATATCTGTTTTACATGTTCGCAAATAGTGTAGAGAATTCAGTGTAGGTCTAACGGAAATTCAAAATGAATATCGGAGCAGAAGACCTTCAGTTTCATACGAGATTGTCGTTAAATTGGAATGAATATTGCTTGAAGATCGGAGGTTCACCATTAAAGATCTTGCTTTCCCAAGACTTCCCACACCACAATTCATAACATATTAACTGAAAAATTAGACTCAGGAAAAATCACAAAGTTAGTGCGCGGTGGGTATTGCGACTACTGCTTACTGAAAATCACAAGCACCAACGGGTCGAGTGTGCCCAGCAATTTTTGTAACAATGTGAAGACAACAAGGAAGAATTTTTGGATTCAATTGTTACATGCGACGAAACATGGGTGTTTTACTTTATCTCCGGAACTAAGCAGCAATCACGTGAATGGCGTCACTCAACTTCGCCAAAGCCGAAGAAGTGTATACAAACGCAGCTTGCTGAGAAAGTCATGGCAACCGGCTTTTGGTACAGTGATGGCCTACTGTTATTCGACTTCTTGTCTCATACAACAACAGTCAAAACAGCGTATATTGCGAGAGATTAAATATACTGAGTCGTGAGATCCAGAGCAGCCGACGAGGACGATTGTTCAGTGGTGTGAGGCTTCTCTATGACAACGCTCGACTTCATATTTTACATCAAACTGAACAACTGCTGAGAGATTTTGGCTGGACTGTTGTGCCCCCTCCTACAGTCCGGAGCTGGCACCAAGTGATTATCACTTATTTCCAAAATTAAAGAAACATTTGGTGGCTTACGCTTCAGTGCCGATGATGAAGTCAAGGAAGAGGAACCCAATCCCCCAAGGGATTGGCGGTAGAATTCTTTAACATGAGGATAGAAAAGTTGGAGCATAGTATGTAAAAGTGTCTGACAAAAACCGCGATTATGGAGAAAAATAGCGTAAGTTTTAAGTATTAAAAACGTATATTATGTATACTACTAAGCACAAAAATAGAGTTGTCTATTTTTAAAATTCATGGGAACCTTATTTTACGAATGGCCTTCGTATAATTCCTTGAAAACTTTTTGGTGGCCAACTACCTGGATCGGAGTCGAGTCCGACCAATGTAATTTATATGCTCCGTGTTTTTTTTCGCCCATCGTGTATATTTACTAATTTTTATACATATTCTGTCAACTAACACATAAAAAAATCGGAAAATTCATATTACTTAGACATTTACTCCTAATCATACTAATAAAAGAACAAAAGTACACTAATTACACCTTAACAAATTAAAATTGGTTCCAAAGATCTAGTTTTCTGTAGTTTCTAAAAACTTTACAGCCCAGTAGAGTAGAGCACAGTTTAATTATTAATCAAAATGTTTATTGATATCGTATAATCTGATAATGTCTATAGTACTACGATAGAACATTACTATTATAGAACACTACGATATACTATAACTTTTAAGCAGGGATCTGACAGAACGTGAAACGGCGTTCTTTATCGTCGAAGAGAAATAAAAAATACATAATAGAAAACGACAAAATCTAAAGTCGGGAACCAACGCAATGTGAAATACCGTTTTTTACCCTCAATATTTGTGGTTTACGATCCCTGGAATAGGGCAAAACTGTCTATTTACGGTGAACGCGTACTGTCCCGTCGTTTGCCGATAAATCAACACGGTTCAAAGGAAATTGAAAGCTGATGTATAGCACGCACTTACCTCTCCAACCCTTTCGACTCGACTAGGGACAGGTACGGTCAGTGCCGTGGTAATTTTACTATGGAGTGGTCTAAAGAAACTACCCAACTTACTAAATTTTTTACCGGTAATACTGGTGGATAAAACCAAACTTAGGTAACCTTTGATCTCGAGAACACACGCTCCTTTGGAGTAGTTATTAAAATTAAATATTTATTAATTTCACACTAACATAAGGTGCCAAACGTGTCTCCTCTCTGTTCACTATTTATCTATTTTCTATATATCTTTGCCGACGTAAACCAGCAAAGAGCGCCTTTTCACGTTCTTTGAGACACCGGCTTTAATATGTATGTGTTATTGACACATTATAATGAAGAACTTTTTGTTTTCATAGCAATTAGATGGGGAAGATCCAGCTTCGACCAGACCTCCGTATTTAGTTGTAGAGTCTTTAAAAAATGCTCCAATAAACATTCATCAGGTAAGAACAATTATATTATTGAAATATTATGTATCCATTATTAATGTATTAAGTAAAGATATATACATACGTTTTAAGGTGTAGTTTACAATATATATTTATTTATTAGAAGTTTTATATTTGATCCGTATGTTATTAGAAATTTGCTTGTCTCAAATGTTGCAGTAATTGTATAAGCTAATAATGTCGGTATCCATATAATCTATATAATCTGAGGTTGGTTTTCATTATGAAATAGCCCTGAATAGTTCTACGGAACTGCATTTATACCACTTCCTCAGGTCAGTTATTCTGGAAATGCGTCTTTTTCCAATACTCTATTTTCCTTGTATTTTGTCTTGTATTATCATTTGCAATAACAAATACTTATCTTTTTTTAATACATGATCCATATATTATAACTTCCTGATCTAAATTGTATTATACTCATAAAGAAAATTGTAAAAGAAAACTGCGAAAGAGGTGGCAGCTCACTAGACATCCAGAAGATAAAGCAAATCTTAATAGAGCTTGTAGAGTACGTAAATCCAAATTGATTTAACACGTAGACAATGGAATCAATAAATATTTAAAGAACCTCTCACCTGCGGATGATACAACTATTCGCTGTGGAAATTAACAAAAAACAGACAAATGAATATGCCAATCAGGAAACAAAATGGCACTTGGGCTAAAACTGACGTAGATAAAGCATATACTTTTGCAAATCATATATACGAGGTATTTTAACCGCATCAGAGGGACGTCTCAGTTGGAGAAGAGGAAGCTATTCATGAAGTTATAAATACACCACATCAAATGGCACCGCCTATTAAACCCTTTAAGAGATCTTAAATAAAAAAGTAAATGATACTCTGGAAATTAAAAAGTCACCTGGATAAGATATAATATCTAGTCTAGTACTGAAAAATCCACCCAACGAAGACGTAAGTTTTACCTACTACCTACTTAGATATTTAATTCAATATTAAAAGCAGGTTATTTCCCAAAGTTGTTTAAATTGTTCTTATTCCAAAATCTAATAAGGATGACACATAAGTATCTTCATATCGTCAATTAGTTTATTGCCTATTGTATCCAAAGCGTTTGAAGGACTTTTTCTGAATACGAACAAGCTGAATTTTTGCTGAGAATGTAAATTTTGAAACCACAAAAAAGATTCAATATACTACCCCGTAATTTCCCTCAAAACCCTCCCTCGTAAGTGTGGGAAAAGGAAAAAGAATAGATTTACCAAGAATCTGTACTCTGTAGAAAGTACTCTGTAGAAAAAATTGTTTCAGAGTAGAAATGTATGTTCTTTCAGATGGCCTTAATAAGGTTTTTTAATTGTTATAAAAAAAAAACTGGCATCAATTTATAAAAAAAGCACTTCGTCTCAAAGTGTTAGTCCAGTTACTGAGGGTTTTTACTTCCGAATTCTCTATAACTGAACCGATTCATTTGAAATTTTTTTGTGTTGGTAAATAATTACTCAAGGAACAAAAGTTATATAGTGCCGATTGCGCTTCCGCCCTGGGGGTGTTTGCTACCCCTTTTCGAGGGTGGAAATTTTTTCACTTAAAATAACCACGCTATTCGTAGAAGGACAAATTTCAAACAAAAAATGTAGTTAACATTTTTTTCGCTAGATCAATACTTTTTGAGTTATTCGCTGTTGAGAAGTGTCATTTTTCGTTAAAAAAAAAACATGTTTTTCAAAGGTTTTTAAAGAATAGCTCCCTTTTGCGACAAAAACTCATATAATATTTTTAAAATAGAAGACCTTTAAAATGAGTGGTGGTGAAAGTCCTTTGCACCAACTCTACGTGAGATACGATTAAAAAAACGATGGGTTTCTCAAATTTTTGTAAAAAAAAAACGCAATAAAACTAACGTTATGTTCACTAGGATTGAAATAAATTGTTTTCCTTATAGAATTCACTTTATTTTAGTGTTTTTTGTATGATCCAAAAGTTTAGCCACTTTAGAATACCCAGTTTTTGAAAAAAAGTATGATTACATTTTTTTTGTAAATATTAAAAAAAATATTTTTTTTATAATAACTTCAAAACTATAAAAGATACGTAAAGGATGACACAATACAAAAAAATAGGTTTTTTTTCAACAAAAATTTTCATTTTTAATTTTTTTTTGTAGCTTAAAAAATAACGGAGATATAGTTGGTTGAAGTTTACTTTATAGCGCATGAACCACTGGTCTCCGACCCTTTGACCCTTCGCCCTTTAAACATGAAGGACTTTAGAATGTTTTAACATTCCTATACTTATAGCCCGTTAAATTACCTGTAAAATCGTTTTTTGATGCATGTTGTAGCATCAAAATTAACCGAGTTATTGTAAAAAAACCAATAGTACTTTTTAGAATAAATTTTGGAGCATGGAAAAATTTTATAATTTGGAGCATTTCGATGGAACTAATAGACATTTAATATATACATATGCATCTATTCATATATATATCTCTCTCTCTATATGTATATATATATATAATATATATATATATATATATATATATATATATATATATATATATATATATATATATAAAACAAGTTTTGGAAACAGGTAGGGATCGTTTTATATAAATATTATTTATTTTTAGTTTTTTGGAAAATAAAAAAAATGTAATAAACTATAAACTAAATTTTTTCTATTTATGTCCATGTCTAAGTTAAGGATTTAAGGATTTTATTTTCATCAAAAGGGGTGCTTGTAAGGGTTGAAAAAAGTAGGCTCATTTTATAAGTAAAAAATTAATTTTTGTCTACAAACAATGCACTCTAAAAATGTTTCAAATCGTTAAAAATATTTTTTAATTCATTTTTGACAAAGGGGGTGGTTGTGAGGGTTGAAATGTTGAAATTATAATAAATGCACCCAAGAAATGTTTCAGACCAATAAAAATATATTAAATTAATTTTTTAAAAAAGGGGTTGGTTGTGAGGGTTGAAATTATAATAAAAAGTTATTTTATATGCAAAAAATTAATTTTCGTTAAATAAAATGCACTCAAGAAATGTTTCAAACCGATAAAAATATTTTTTAATTCATTTTTGTCATAAGGGTGGTTGGAAGGGTTGAAAATTTCCAATAAATAAAATATTATTGTATAGCTGGGGTATTAATTTTTATTTATATCTAATTACATAATTGAAATGTGTCAAGCTGCTACGACTTTTTTTTCATATTATTTTTTTAAAAAGTATTAGCTTTTAAGGGTTAAAAATTTAAGTGCTTAAAATAATTAAATCCGTGTTTTCCCAGTTTCTTCAATAAGGGGTAGTTTTCACCACTTAAAAACAAAAACAGCACCTAGAGCGTATATAACTTTTGAAGTGGAGGGTAAGATAAGCTTAATTTGAAATGTTCAAAGAATTCGATGCAGTTATAAAAAATTCGGAGGTATTACCATATTTTAAGCCTTAGTAATTGGACTATGTCCTAGGTCAACTTTTCTTCCTTTTATATTGGTAAAAAAATTCAGGTTGTCAAAATATGAATAAATTAAATTAATTAAAAAGTTATTCTAATTATTTATAAGCAAAAAATTGACACATTTTTGCCAAATTATTTTGCAATATTTAAAATTATTTTTCCTAATTTTTTTTTAAAATATGTAATATCAATAGGATAAATCTTCTTCTTTTAGAATCTATCCGTACATTTAATATACGTATTTAATTTTCTGACTTATATTGTTGCAAACAAATTTAATTTGGGATAAACAAATTAATAACTTTTAAACACTTTGACCGATCGAGTTGAAATTTTGATCTTATTTTAAGCACCACAATACTCAACATTTCGTGTAATATAAAGATTATAAGTTTATTTAAAAAAAGGTTATTAACATGTATAAAAAACCGAAATTTTTGACTTATTTTGCAACTTTCTAAGCAACAAATAAGGATAGGAACAGTTAGTAAACACTTTTTTGAAGATTTTTCTATGAAATATTAGATATCTTAAAGATATATTAAAAAAAAAACATTTTAAAGGTAATTTCTAAAGCTACACGTCTAGGTAAATTCAAATATTTTAAAACCCCTTCTTTTTAAATACTACAGGACCAAAGTGCCGATTATCTCAAACTTAAATTGGCTATATATCTGTTATTTTTTAAACTTCAACCAAAATAAAAAATAAACATTTACACAAAGAAAAAGCTGCATATTTGTATATAACCATTTTTTCGTGTCTTTTATAATTTGAGATTTATTGTGAACAACGCAAATAGGGAACTTGCACATTTTTTTATTATATAATAACGTTCAGTTTCATTTAAAAATAAGATTTCCAAAATTTCACGCCTCAAAAACTCATAATGACAATTTATTGACATTATAATATGACAGCAATTCGCTGTGAGCCGATGAGTAGAGGGGATTTGACAGTTTTCACCAACGCTGTTAGTGGCAGTTTTGTGCATTTAACTTGTAAACATTCAAATAATGGCGAATATGGATTTTTCAAAAAGAAAAATATATGATACATGTAAAAATACTGGGTACAACAGTCATTGTAAATTTTATTCATTTCCTGTTGCCAAGCATAAAATAGTTCAAAGAGAAAAATGGATTATTGCTATCAACGAGAAAAATAAGTAAATAACCTATAATGCAAACATGATATTTGTATGGTGTAAAATTAAAAAGCTATTATATTCCGAAACATTGCGTACATGCCCTGCATCAACTAAACCTTTTCCCTTTTTTGGTGTAGCTGGTTGAAATGGGATATCATGTGATATAGACTTAAAACCAGTATAATGTTTAATATCCATTTTGATAAAATTAAAACAAATTTAAGAGGTGGAGGCCATAAAACGAAAGAAGAAGAAGAAGAATTAAAACAAATTGATATCTAAGCACTAAGGCCTACGCACACAAAAAATAACTGAGCAAAAACAGAATAAAAATGTAAAATAAAAACAGAATTACAACGTTACAGAGGTAAAGGTAACCAGAATATAGACGTTTTAAGCGTCTATAACCTTAA